CGTATTTAATAATCGTGACATCAATTATTGACCCAAATAATCGTGATTATGATTTTTGCCATAATCGCACAGCCCTACTTTAACCTGCTATTGATTAGCTTAGCCTAGTTTACCTGTCTGAGGACTGAATATGTAGCGTTAACCTGCTATATATTAGCTTAGCTTATATTGAATATGAAGCTTTGAACAGTTATTGACGAGCTTAGCTTAGCTTCACTTAGCTTAAGAACTAGTCCAGTACAAAACATCCAATACAAAATAATAACGTATTGTTTTTACACGTTGGCTTTTGTGTGGATTGACCTTGTAACTACAGTACTGAGCTTTTGACTGGTAGGTTAATCTGTTACCTGGACAGAGATGGCTTATTGCAAACTATACTTTCACTTGCTAGGCTAAGCTAAGTGTCTCCTGCCTTAGCTTTATATTTAGGTAGAGTTGCTCTCATCTCATGTTTTACTTATTTCTGTCTTCCACTATATGGTAAAGATCTCTGTATATAGAAGGATACATGCAGATTTTGGCTTATTGAATGTGATTGAGGGGTCCTTGGGGTAATTAGGAAATGCTAAATCATATATTGGTTTGTTTGTTGACGCTTTTTTTAAAGCTGTAAAATAAAATCAGTGGCAGCTGTTGAGCACCGACTCACATTCAGCTTTCTTAATGAGCAGCAGCGTGAAGAGGCTTAAATCAGAGGACTGACTTTATAATTGGTTTGGTTTGTGTCCAAGATCATTTGTTGCCAAGAGATACACATGTTGTTGCTGAATTACAACGCACTTAATCAACAAATTAGGTAAATCAACCTGATGTACGCTGGCAATCAATGTAACCTACTCAAGAACATCTGCAGTAGTCTTTGAAAGAAATCTATCATTGTTTTAAAAGGCACCATTTAATTCAGATAGTCATTCCATTTAATGTTCCTGCTGATGTTCAGGTGTATATCAGTGTGTAGTGTCTCTACTTTAAAGAGTCCTCTCCTGCTCATGTTCAGGTGTATATCAGTATGTAGTGTCTCTACTTTAAAGAGTCCTCTCCTGCTGATGTTCAGGTGTATATCAGTGTGTAGTGTCTCTACTTTAAAGAGTCCTCTCCTGCTCATGTTCAGGTGTATATCAGTATGTAGTGTCTCTACTTTAAAGAGTCCTCTCCTGCTGATGTTCAGGTGTATATCAGTATTTTGTGTCTCTACTTTAAAGAGTCCTCTTCTGCTGATGTTCAGGTGTATATCAGTATGTAGTGTCTCTACTTTAAAGAGTCCTCTCCTGCTGATGTTCAGGTGTATATCAGTATGTAGTGTCTCTACTTTAAAGAGTCCTCTCCTGCTGATGTTCAGGTGGATATCAGTATGTAGTGTCTCTACTTTAAAGAGTCCTCTCCTGCTGATGTTCAGGTGTATATCAGTATGTAGTGTCTCTACTTTAAAGAGTCCTCTCCTGCTGATGTTCAGGTGTATATCAGTATGTAGTGTCTCTACTTTAAAGAGTCCTCTCTTGCTGATGTTCAGGTGTATATCAGTATGTAGTGTCTCTACTTTAAAGAGTCCTCTCCTGCTGATGTTCAGGTGTATATCAGTATGTAGTGTCTCTACTTTAAAGAGTCCTCTCCTGCTGATGTTCAGGTGTATATCAGTATGTAGTTTCTCTACTTTAAAGAGTCCTCTCCTGCTGATGTTCAGGTGGATATCAGTATGTAGTGTCTCTACTTTAAAGAGTCCTCTCCTGCTGATGTTCAGGTGTATATCAGTATGTAGTGTCTCTACTTTAAAGAGTTCTCTCCTGATGATGTTCAGGTGTATATCAGTATGTAGTGTCTCTACTTTAAAGAGTCCTCTCCTGCTGAGGTTCAGGTGTATATCAGTATGTAGTGTCTCTACTTTAAAGAGTCCTCTCCTGCTGTTGTTCCGGTGTATATCAGTATGTAGTGTCTCTACTTTAAAGAGTCCTCTCCTGCTGTCATCTTATATTCAGACACAGTGAAAGTGAATCAGCATATGATGCAAAGTCTTACTGTAACTATTAGCGTTGGAGCTATTGTGTGATGGATATGAAAGGACTCACTATCTCATTAGTCTCGAGCTGAAACAACCAGTGGCGGCCGGCCCATAGGGGCGCTAGGGGCGCCGCCCCCCCTCTTTCCACATTAAAAATATAAAAAAAATAAAAAAAATAAAAATATATATATTTAAAAAATATATCTTTTATTTTTATTTTTATTTTTAATAAACAAGGTAAATATTATATAATTGGTATCAGTAAAATGTATAATCTACAATAAAATCTTGTTTAAAATTGTGTTACGATGTCTAAAGTTACTGATAAGTCACATGTTTCCTGCCTGGCCTTGCCCGTGTATCATTACTCCCTCTCGTCTGGGCGCTATGTACAGCGCCCAGACGAGAGGGCAGCAAGTGCAGCAGAAGCCAACTGTTGCTATCTTTAAACTATGCCGCCGAAACATAATTTCAGCCAATCAGTGTCGTCAAATCTGATGGTCACAGGGCTCCTAGGTCAACGCCCGGTGCAGTCTGTGAGTTGTTTGGACTCATATCCAAGGAGACAAAACAGGAAGCTGTCATACACTCTGGAAGCTACCATTAGCAGCTAATGAAAACTCCGTTTTTGACATAAAAATGGAATTATGAATCATCAATCATTTTTCAAAGTGACAGACACATTGGATTAACCTATGGATTAACCTTCAGCTGCGTTTTTCTCGTTTTTGATCAAAATTGTTATTCTGCAAAAGGTGAGCATATCTCCGTGTTTTTGCTACCTAAAAATCGCTCAGTGATGATACTTATATTTGTTTGTGCATATCCGATAAGTATATCGATTGATTTATACCTAGAGTGCGTTAGCATTTTTTCGCTCAGGGCTCATTTAGACGCTTCTTGTGAGACTTGTGTTTTGTTTCGGTAAACATGGTTCATATCATCAGTTAGCTGCGTTTTCTCTGAGTAGGACACATGAATAGTTTATTACATTTTAAGAAGCCCTGAGACACAGTTTCGTGAGAAAAAAAACGGGGGAAAAAAGCCCCTTAACAGGTTAAATGGGAATTAAATCATTTTAAGTAATTTTGAGTGTTCCCAAAGCCCCGGTGTTCTGCAGTTTGTGTGGGCCTACTGTACTGTTGCACAGTTTATGCTGTAGAAAGTATGTCCAGGACAAGGTGTTTGGAAGTTTTGGAAGATTCATAGCTAACCACACTGAAGTTATGGAGGTATTGATCAGTCTTCTCATATTTTTAAGCCTCAAATTGTCCTTCCCCCCCCCCTCTAACATCACCAGAAGTCATAATTTAGGGGGTCTTTTCTCAAAAAAAATTAGCGGGGGAGCAATACCCTAGTATTGTTTGATCACCATTTCCACAGCCCCACCTAAAATATTTTCGACCAGCCGCCACTGGAAACAACTCAATTAAAAAAACACTTTACACACTTTTCTCCTTCCTGTATCTGGTGTAAAAGAGCAGACGGAGAGTCAGACATCTGATCGAGGTCAGGAGTTCGCCTCTCCTCCTGCTCACTCCTCTGCTCAAACTGTAGCATCCATCTCTCGTTGCATTGAGTTTCCCACTTTCCTCCATATTCTCATTCATCACAGTGTCATGGGTTTTACTGCGGCACGCACATATGGAGGCTCAGGGAGGGGTCCACCATCACCCCTTAAAACTGAGATGACTCCATTTACATCCCACCAGGATCCAAAGTCTTTGCACCCCGTGCGCTCATCTGAATAAAAGTGCTTGTGATTATTGGTGTGTTTAATGTGCAGCTGTTTTGCTAGAACAGTATAATGTGCTTTCTCCGTAATGGAAGTATTCAGGTCTTTAACTTGTGCTAATGGTTTTTTTTATTGTCTTTTAGCATTTGCCGTATTGTGAACTTCTACATTTCATGTTTAATTATTTTATTGTGTTGTTATTTTAAATATAACTTGTTTTCAGGGTGACTTTACAACACAAAATAGCCTCTTTGTTAACTTACAGAAATCTTCATTAATGTGCGCTGACCCTGCCAAATAAACTAATACATTAATTAAAAGTACTAATACAATCGTGTCAATTAAAAAGTACTCAATCTGCCATTGACTTGCCTTCATTTGTAAAATATATCACTGTCTATGGTATGACATTATTATATTGTTAATATAATCCCATCAATTAGCATTTTAATGTGGCAGACATTTAACATTGGGGTACAAAAAGTGTTCATGTTTAAGACTTTGTTTCTTACCTTTAAATAATAGATATGTTTAACTTCTTGTACCTGCTTTTCTACCGGTCTATTCATCTAGAAAGCAACTAAAGCTGTCAGTAAAAGTAGAATACATTGTTCCCCATTGACATGCATTTGTGTAGAAGTATCATAGAACAGAAGCACTCAAGTAAAGAACCTCACAATTGTATTTACCCTCCATCACTGTGTTTTCTACACAACACCTCCTGTGCCCAAAGATGAATGCTTGTGTTGGATTCTTGTATGTTTAGTTCAGTGTAGTTTAGTTTACTTGTTTCTAGTGTCGTGGACAGTCCCCATTGATCAACTGTCACAGAAAACAGTAAATGGAGCAGCTTTAGCCAACATGGCTAATTTCCAGCTGTTGTCCCCGGCCAGATGATAATAGACACCTTTTCAAATTCACAATACATCAACAGCATTAGTTATTAAGAAAGGATGAAAGACAAGTAGATAGAGGCGAAAGGATAAAAGAGAACAATAACATGCAAACAACACATATTACTACATACATGTCACATATAGCACATCACAACCACATGACAGAAACGAGGGAAACATCCATGATCACAACATGTAACACACACACCATATCCAGCACAGACTAGTGTGTGTAGTCCTCAGTGAACCATGTTTTTAAGTGAGCTGTGAAGGTGGTATATGTATGTATGTCTTTGATTTGAGTGGGTAGAGAGTTCCAGTTTTGTATTGCTGTGTTTCATTAAAAAGTTATTTCTGTGTTTGTTTTCAGGGCAGCGACAAAGGCGACGTGGACAAGAATAAGTGCTGCACGCTGTGCAACATGTCCTTCACCTCCGCCGTGGTGGCACAGTCACACTACCAGGGAAAGATCCACGCCAAGAGGCTAAAACTGCTGCTGGGGGAGCAGCCGGTCATCACAGCCAAAGGTAAGGCCCCTGTCACTGATGCATTGTGGGTATGAATGATAGAGGAGGAGCTACAGGGGATTTATTTTAGAGTCGTGCAGGAATTAGTCGTAAAACATAGAAAAACTCTGCATTTTCGGTCCCCTGGTCTGGTGGTGAATTGTTTTCTGAATGTGTTTATGGTCTGAAATTAGGTCTGTGGTTAAAACAGGCTGAAGAGATTTTGACAGTTTGTCCTACGACATAAAATACGTCAGTAAATACCCCACTGGTGGATTTAAAAACAGAGGTTGCTAACAAGTGTCTAAATGAGACGACTAAACGCCATCACGCCCAACATTAGCCACCTTTAGCTTAGCGGTGGTGACGTGAAGTCATGTGACCGTGCTGTAGTTCCTTTATAGCCCAACATTAGCCACCTTTAGCTTAGCGGTGGTGACGTGAAGTCATGTGACCGTGCTGTAGTTCCTTTATAGCCCAACATTAGCCACCTTTAGCTTAGCGGTAGTGACGTGAAGTCATGTGACCGTGCTGTAGTTCCTTTATAGCCCAACATTAGCCACCTTTAGCTTAGCGGTAGTGACGTGAAGTCATGTGACCGTGCTGTAGTTCCTTTATAGCCCAACATTAGCCACCTTTAGCTTAGCGGTAGTGACGTGAAGTCATGTGACCGTGCTGTAGTTCCTTTATAGCCCAACATTAGCCTCCTTTAGCTTAGCGGTGGTGACGTGAAGTCATGTGACCGTGCTGTAGTTCCTTTATAGCCCAACATTAGCCTCCTTTAGCTTAGCGGTGGTGACGTGAAGTCATGTGACCGTGCTGTAGCTTTTTACTTCAGAAATTATAAAGTGCTGTTAATATGTGGAGATTATCCTCTAAACTAAACGTGTAGGAATCATAAACGTTTGTTTGACACAGAGATTATTTTCTGCTATAATCCAAAATCACATGGAGAAATCCCATTGGACCAGGGAGATGCTGCCTTCAGGGACCAAAACCACATCATCACTGCACAATTATATTCAGAAGAAAAATTACTAAGCAATGAGCCACAGGATGTGTTGATGTTTGGAGGTGTTGTTATGTGCGTGTGAAGTGGAGTAAAACCTCACTGCTGATTTTAAATAATGATGTTGAGTGTGTGTTCTCCACATATCTCTGAGCTGCAGTGCTAACAAACAGCATTGACAGTATATGAGTGTATATATTAGTGATGCAGTGCTCTGAAACATCAGATCCACTCAGAGGTGATGCACGGGTCAGGATATGGTTCAGAAGCCCAAAGGCCAGATCCAGGAGTCACTGTTATTGTTTCTGTTACTGAACTACTTCTGCGTTGTTGTGTTTTCAGTTATTTCTTTAGTTATAGCATTTGGTAAGGTTCAGCGAGATGACGTCAAAGGAATGATTTCCATTTTGGGAATGGTTGACATACCAGGAGTGACATAAGATAAGAAGATTGACACCACTATCATGTCTTAATGGGACATTTTAAATGTGTATCCTCCAGCCAGTTAGCTTAGCGTAGTTTAAAGTCTGGAAACTGTGGTAAAGAGCAAGCTCGTCTCTTTCAAATGGTACTGTTTCTCCCTGTCTATTTGAACATTGAATTCGGTCCCTATTTTTTATGTTTATGTGTGATTTGTACACAGCCTAAGTGCCATGGGAAAGACAGTATTCCTCCCTGTACTCCAATCTTGAAATATATCCAACTCATCAACTACAAAGACTTGGCTTGTTAAAACCAATATAAATGTTTATGACAAGGCACCAGTGTAATCTATGGTAATGTGAATTCATTAAAATAAATCACCAGACCTCTTTTGGTGCAGCCAAGCCTGTTTAAAGAGTGAAAGGAAAAACAAAGCGTGCATACGACGCTGGGATTTTGTAGAAAATGCGATGCTCGGTGCCCATCGTCTGACATTCACACATCACTTTCATTGAGATTATAATTTGGGACGGTCAGCTGCCAACCCAGCGTCAGGCTCAGATCCATTTCCACTCCCCTTCCTCCTCCATTAGTTTAAACTCACCTTGAGGTGTCAGCGCTCTTCTTTCTCCTCCACACATAAACCCAGAGTGAGCACACATCCATAAATGTTGCCTTATACATTTTAATGGGAGTCTATAACAATATTGGCAAAGGTTGTCTTATTGCGGATAACTTGTATATATTCAGCAATGTGGCTAATAAGACGTATTCTCAAGACTCCCCCCAAAGTTAAGAGGACCTACTCTGATCATTTTCAGGTGTATATCAGTATGTAGTGTGTCTACTTTAAAGAGTCCTCTCCTGCTGATGTTCAGGTGTATATCAGTATGTAGTTTCTCTACTTTAAAGAGTCCTCTCCTGCTGATGTTCAGGTGTATATCAGTATGTAGTGTCTCTACTTTAAAGAGTCCTCTCCTGCTGATGTTCAGGTGTATCTCAGTATGTAGTGTCTCTACTTTAAAGAGTCCTCTCCTGCTGATGTTCAGGTGTATATCAGTATGTAGTTTCTCTACTTTAAAGAGTCCTCTCCTGCTGATGTTCAGGTGTATATCACTATGTAGTGTCTCTACTTTAAAGAGTCCTCTCCTGCTGATGTTCAGGTGTATATCAGTATGTAGTGTCTCTACTTTAAAGAGTCCTCTCCTGCTGATGTTCAGGTGTATATCAGTATGTAGTGTCTCTACTTTAAAGAGTCCTCTCCTGCTGGTGTTCAGGTGTATATCACTATGTAGTGTCTCTACTTTAAAGAGTCCCTCTACGAAAAAACATGCACTAAAACCTAAAGAACTACAGGAGAGGGAAAGCCCTCTCTTAGTAAAGGGCCTCTTAAAGGGGGAAAGGCTGTTGTTGGTGAGGAAATACCGATGTGGGATGCATTACAAATGGTTTATTAATTGTTATTGTTTTTATTAATGTCAGAAACATCAGTATAAAAATGCACTGCTCTATCAGTCAACAGAAAAACTCCAACAAATTAGAAGTAAAGTATTTCTGAGCACAAACACAGTGCGCCAACAAACCACAGCAAACAAACACCAATCACTGTGGACTCAGGTGTCCCCGAACAATCAGAAAATATAATGTTTACCATGTTCATCGTTCACTGTTTACCCTCCGCTCATTATTCTCACAAAACTGCCAATTTGTGAGTCGATTCAGGTGAGCAGCTGTCACACACACACACACACACACACACACACACACACACACGCAGCACGCACGCACGCACGCACGCACGCACGCACGCACGCACGCACGCACGCACGCACGCACGCACGCACGCACGCACGCACGCACGCACGCACGCACGCACGCACGCACGCACGCACGCACGCACGCACGCACGCACGCACGCACGCACGCACGCACGCACACACACACACACGCACACACACACACTAGCTAGCCAATCGTAGCGCGAGTGTTTTTGTGATGTCACCATGTTCTGAAAGTAAACAGAGGAGTCCAATGGAGGCGTTTCAGGCAGGGAAGGGGTTGATGCAGGGAACACAGGGATTTTAGCCTTTGCAGACCATTTACATGCACTAAAACCTACAGAACACACTACAGGAGAGGGAAAAAGCACAACAAGGGCCTCATTGAGCATATAGTAGGACAGGATGTGCCTGCAGTTAATTCATGCCAACATTTTCTGTTACAGCTGAGATATAATTAACATCTTTAAGAGCTTCAATTGTTCAGCTTTTTAGTCTGTGTCCCGTTTACAATCGTCATGACGTAAAATGCTGCAGCTGCTCCTTCCTGTGCTGCGTTTAATACCCATCGTCCACCTGTGTGCTCTCTTCTCTCTTATGTATATGCATCGATCCCTCTCTCTCTTGTTGTGTCGGGCTGACATATGAAACGTCTCAGAGAGTGATCGAAACAGCCTGACGCCGGCTGAGGTCTGTATTCACTCTGAAAATAATACCCTTGGATAAATGAGAGGGATTGTGTGTTTTAAAGCAGAATGATGGGCTCTGTGTTTCTTTGTTTTGCACAGGTTAGGAGCTTTCGCTGTATGGAGGTGTATGTATTTGGTTTTCTGGCGAAAAGTTTCTCTATTTTATTGAGTTTTAGGTTATTATTTTCAGCTTTGAAACTCTAAATGGAATCAAACTTCTATACCCTCCCCAAAAAAGTTCATAAAACGTCACCTGTATTGAATAAAATGGTATGAAAACACAGAGGTAATTTGCAAAGAATAGATTACCAACACGATACAAAGGCTTTATTGCTACAGCATAGTTGTTTGGCGATGAAAGTCCAAAGTCCCAGGCTCCTTTACCAATGCACCGTACTATAAACGCAAGACATTCAAAGAAATACAGAATTAAAATAGTGCAAGAGACTTAATGGTGCGGGAATAAGGACAAATATACACATCAAATAGCAAAGATATAAAACACAATGCACATTTAAACACTGCACAGCAGAATAAATACTGTATTCTCTAATAATATCAAAGGATGCACAAAGAACATACAGTCGTAATATTTGGATTAAAGCTGCTTATTTCAAGTTTTCTAACCACTTTAAATTTGACAATACTATCACTAAAATGACGAAAAAAGCAGATTTATTCAGCGCTTCTCATGGGTCCTTTTTTGAAAAAGGAAAAGCCTGAAACATTTGAAACATCATGGGACACTAAACCTCTTCATTAATATTCATAGTTTGATGAAATACAAATATGAGACCCACAGATTCCCCTCAAGCAGAGACACTTTTCACTCGGCTCTGTCCCAAATGGAAAAGATGGAAAATGTCAATAAAAGGTTTTTTGTTTCTTGTCCAAACAACCCAGGTGAAGTAGAGGAAGTGTGAGCTGTTGTTTCATCCTCAGAAACACTCTGTTAAAAGCCCCCAGATGTGTCACAAATAGAAAATGTCAGACAGATAAACCCAGAGCAACGGCAGGTTGGGGATATTGATTTCTACATGAATAGCGTCAGCAGACCATCTCTCGGGACCCACTTTTGTTCCTGCTGTCAGCCGGCATTCATCCATTCAAGCTTGCAAAGCA